CTGACAGTATTAGTCACCATTTACTTAAATGTACAATTCGAAAGATTTAATTAATTTTTAAAGGATACAGTATTAGTCACCAGTTATTTAAATGTACAATTCGAAAGATTTAATTAATTTTTAAAGGATACAAAAAAGTCAAAAATGGATTTATACTGGACTTGAAACATTTTTACTCCATTCTGTGAAAATGATTGTACGGAGATAATATTGGTATGTCTGTAACAGACAGGTATTTCCAGGACATGAAGGCTTTCGTTTTTCATAATATGGAGCATTCATTTTGTGAAACAGGGAATCTGGGGGCCACATACACTGAGACACGGAATCCGGGGGCCACATACAGTGAGACACGGAATCTGGGGGCCACATACAGTGAGACACGGAATCTGGGGGCCACATACAGTGAGACACAGCATCTGGGGGCCACATACAGTCAGACACGGAATCTGGGGGCCACATACAGTCAGACACGGAATCTAAGGCACACACACAGTGCAACAGGGAATCTTTGGTACTTGCAAAATGAACTAAGTTATTCAAGATACTTACATCACAGGACAGGAAACATGTGGAAATCACATATGCTCAGTAACATTGGACAGGTGAGGTATCCAATGTATGAGCAAGGAATTTCTGGTTACTTTTTGGGCAAAACAAATCTGAGGTACAAACAGAGAATGTCAGAGCATCTTGGGTATCCAAACAATTCAGCAGGAAACCTGTGGAACCCTTACAAAAGGACAGGAGGAACAGACAGACCGACAGTTTGTCCAGGGGCACTACATAGAAAAATAGGAAATTTAGAGGATGCAACTAAAGAACTGGAAAGTCTAAAGTACTCAAAAAGTGACATAAAAACCGGAAGTCTTGGGTATACAGTCAGTAAAACAGGAAATCTAGGGCACACAAACAGGAAAACACAGAGCATGTGGTTTACAAACAAAGGAATAGGGCATCTGGTGCACATAAACAGGGCAACAGGAAACCTGGGGTTAACAAATAATAAAATAGGGAGCCTGGGACATACAAACAAGGAAACTCTGAGTCCGGGGTATACCAATGGTGGAATACGAAGCACAAGGGAAACTGGGAGCCTGGGGTTTACAGACAGTGATATAGGGAGCCTAATGCATATAAATAGGGAAACAGGGAGGCATGTGTTTTCAAACAGTGAAATAGAGAGGCGAGGGAACATTAACAGTAAAACAGGGAGCCTGAGGTTTACATATGGGGAAACAGGCAGCCTGGGGTATACCAACAGTGTAACAGGGAGCCTTGGATATACATGTACCAACAGTGAAACATGGAGTCTGGGGCACACCAACAGAGAAACAGGGAACCTGGGGTTTACAAATGGTGGAAAAGAGGGCCCCTGGCACTCAACCTGTGAAACAGGGAGTTTAGGGCATATACACAGCATAAAGGGGAACTTTGGTAGCATAAACAGTGAATCAGAATGCCTCAGGTACTCAAACAGGAAAACAGCTAGTCTCGGGAACACAAACAGTGAAACAGGGAGCTTTCCCTTCTCATACAGCACTTTAGGGAACTCAAAGCACTCGGTCAATAAAACTGGGATTGATCAATACTTACAACTTGAATGTGAAGTGGGGAACTTCAGAAACTTCAACAACGAGCCAGGAAATTACCCATGCAGAAAACCAACAAATTTGCAGGACTCACACAATGGAACTGAGAATCTAGAGCACTCAAAGGTGCAAAATGGCAGCTTAATGAAGGACTCAAACAGTAAAACAGGTGTTGTAGATTCATACAGTGAAACAGGCTGTGAAAACTCAGATAGTGAAACAAATAGTATGAGCTATTCACATTTTGTAACTGAGAGTCTTGGAAACTCAGAGACTAAGAATCAAAGGCACTCCATTTGTGAAACATATTGCCGTGCAGGAATGACAACAGAAATGGACTGTGACGATACATGTAGAGATATAACACATATGGACAATGACGATCATGAAAACATTATCTGTGACTACGACTCCATTACGAGCAAAAATTACACATTGTTAGAGTACAGCACATTCAATGACTTTGAAAACGATGCGAGTATTTCTAAGACAAACGAGTTATTAATGAATGGCAATTACAATAAATATACCGACCTTCTTGATGGCATTCTTTACAACATTACACAGAGAAAAAGGAACACTACGGTCAGCTTTGTGTCCCGCGGTTTGTTTCATCTTTACACAGAGAAAATCAAATCTGAATATGGTTTAATTATAGATGAAAATCTCAAGTACAGTTCATACGTCAATGGAGTAAAATGTCGTATCTCTGTTGACAAACCAGCAGGCTGCATTCATGTAATGGGAAAGGGACATAACCAATGGTTGAAATTAACTTTTGTTAAAACAATAAAGGGTCTGCTAAAGACATACTTGGATCATTCTAAACTTTTATAATTTATAATAAATTTTCCAATACTGTACAGAACTGATTTTTATCCAATACTGACCAAAGTAATTGTATTAAATTTCTTTTAACTTTATCATTATTTATATATCATGTATCTATATAAATACAATACAAGTCGTGTGACATAAGGCCATCTCCTTTATTCTAGTAATGTTTTATTTGTTACAGGTCTAGTCCAAAACTTTAATGCTGATCAGATGAAAAAACAATATTAACAATATTAGTCCAAATTTTTTGGGGGGCATAAAAAGCAGCTTCTGAAGTTTTCAAACCTAGATCTTTGAGTGGTAAAAGTTATACAGGACTTTCATATTCTAATTATTTATAGAAAAATACATAAAAAGAGATTGATTGTACTTGTCAAAAACAGCATAACATTTTGATTTTTTCCATTAAAATTTCTATGTTTTGAAAGGGAACTTTTACCTCTATTTTGGTGTGATAAGGCCATAGAAAATTAATCTTTAGACTCTCATCCAGGTTTCAAGAAATAATTGGGGCGGGTGGGTGGAATTTATAATTTATTTCATCCATCACTTTTAAGACCTGAAAAAACAGAAATGTATGAATAAACAAAAGTGTTTTAATCTATATTTTAATGAGATTTTTCAAATATATTGATGAACATCGCATCATTTCCACCCAGATTTTGATCAAAACTAAACCCAAACCAATCACAAACAGTTTTCTTGTTTACTGCATCATATATTTCACATATGACTAACATTTTCAGTGTTTGAAATTAGCAGTAGTCCTATAGCCCCTGACTACTAAATTTCTCCTCGGGCTACCAACTTTTTACAGTAAAAAGCCCGACCAGACTACTGTATTTTCAGAGGCAATATAAACAACTGTTTTGAACAAATGAATCATGCTAATTAAATCCGAATTTCTTACACAGCATTTTGACCATTTTACTGATCGAAAACGAACGTATTTAAAATCTTGATCACTAGACGCTGTAAACCTCAGTCTGATTTTTATGTGTTCATTCGACCACGATTTTCGGACAAATTTTCGTCCACAGACGTCTGAGAAATGAACAATTTTTTTTTATGAAAATAAATTATTTTGGAGCGGAAAGATTTTGATACGGGCGGGCGAGGATGAGAGTCTAAAAATTAATTTTCTGTGGCCTAATATGCCACAGATTTGATACGTCGAGGGCCAAGATTATGCATAATTGCAGGATGCATTAACCAGATGTTACCGGATTTCCATTAACTGATGATGTGCCATTTTGAAAGAGTTAAAACTGAAAATAGTGTTCTACTGAGTTAAAACACACGTTGGGCTTACGATCTTTGGAATTTTACATGTCTGAATTGAATCTTACATGCTCCAAGCATTGACTGAGTGCGGCAAAATACCAGTTTAACACCCCCGGGTGTTTTTCTTTTTTCATTTTTTTTTGTGTGAATTTTCTTCTGTCATTTTACGCTATAAAAAATCTGTGTCATTCAGGCGCTTTGTATTAATACGCGCTTTACATTCAATGACAATCAGTACCCGTGACCGAATTACTACCTTCTTACGCGCGGGAACTACTTTTTTATATTTCCAATACACGTTATGCATGTACACGTGTTACAATTTTATAATTAATTGTACATGTACCTACCTTATTGTTTTCTTTTACTTGCATGCGTATAAATTCTCAAAGTTCCATTTAAATATTCATACCGTCTATTAGTTACATTCCACGCATATAAAGTTCTGGAGTAATTTCCATTTTCAAATAATCTGAACAAAGCACGAAAATGGCTGTGAGCAGCTCTATCTCTGGCCAGTCCTATTAAATCCACCCACTCACAGAAAATATCAGGATTTAAACCATTTACATATATAAATGCAGTCAATATTATTCTTTGAAAATGAGTTATGTTACGTGTCCAGAACAAACGTCTTATATTAATTGGCCATAAAGATGCGTCTCCAATGATATCTTGAATAATAATCCACTGCTGATATATATTACGGTTTTGAGCGGACATTTTCATACGTGTAAAGATACTGCTGGAAAGTCACATGATTAAATTGTTATTGACACGTGCACGAAAACATACAGCAATTTCTTTTACCTTATTTGGCTTAAATATAATCATACACACATGAAGAGGGTATAAAAGGAAAATATATATTTTATATAATATAATTTATATAGTTTATAATATATAATCTATTAAAACGGAATGAATCGCATCATTAATGTTTAGAAATGTAATGAAAACTTAAACATGATTTTTATTTTTGAAATATAAACATGATCTGACAGGGGGTTAATATTATAACACCCGGGTGTTGTATTTATGATATACAATACCTTTTACTATAATTACAATATTTGCATTCCCCCAAAAATACCAAGCCCCTTTTTTTAAAGCATTGAAGCCCCACAGGAAAACCCTCTCCCAGGAAAAATATTTCCTTTATATGCTTAAGTAATATATGCATTTTTCCTCTTTATATATATATACTTCCGGAAACACACCCGGGTGCTATTCCGTAAGTATATATATAGAGAGAGAATGATGCGATTCATTCCGTTTTATTATATTATATTGCCTTATAAAGGAACTACTTTGCCGGGGAGAGGGTTTTCCTGGGGGGTGACAATGCTTTTAAAACTGGGGCTTGGAATTTTTTGGGGGAAACTGTCTTAATGGTAATCGTTTCTACATAACATTTTTTATAAAAGGGTGCTTATATATTAGCACCCGGGTGCTATTCCGTAAGTATATATATAGAGAGAGAATGATGCGATTCATTCCGTTTTAATACATGATATATTATATTGCCTTATAAAGGAACTACTTTGCCGGGGAGAGGGTTTTCCTGGGGGGTGACAATGCTTTAAAAACTGGGGCTTGGATATTTTTGGGGGAAACTGTCTTAATGGTAATCGTTTCTACATAACATTTTTTATAAAAGGGTGCTTATATTTTAGCACCGGGTGCTATTCCGTAAGTATATATATAGAGGGAGAATGATGCGATTCATTCTCGTTTTAATACATGATATATTATATTGCCTTATAAAGGAACTACTTTGCCGGGGAGAGGGTTTTCCTGGGGGGTGACAATGCTTTAAAAACTGGGGCTTGGATATTTTTGGGGGAAACTGTCTTAATGGTAATCGTTTCTACATAAAAATTTTTATAAAAGGGTGCTTATATTTTAGCACCCGGGTGCTATTCCGTAAGTATATATATAGAGAGAGAATGATGCGATTCATTCCGTTTTAATACATGATATATTATATTGCCTTATAAAGGAACTACTTTGCCGGGGAGAGGGTTTTCCTGGGGGGTGACAATGCTTTCAAAACTGGGGCTTGGAATTTTTTGGGGGAAACTGTCTTAATGGTAATTGTTTCTACATAACATTTTTTTATAAAAGGGTGCTTATATATTAGCACCCGGGTGCTATCATGTCACATTGAAGTAGATTTATTATTGTGTTATAGTTTTAAAATTATAATAAAATCAAAAATTAAACGGAATGAATATAATAGATATTTAATGTAATGTATATACTGTATCAATTCTTTCTTATAAATGTATAATAATATAAAAAAAATTACGGAATGAATATCATATATATTTAAGGTATATACTGTATTGATTTTCGCTTATCGTAAAAATTAACGTTTACACGATTGTGTACGTTTTTAAATATGTACAAATAACCCTTGAAAAACCTCATCATGTTTTCATTTGCACGAGAATTTAATTTCAATGTAAAACGAGTTTCTATATGTAAACCCCCACCAAACAACGACTATAAAAGGGACTCGAACACGTGAAACAGACAGTTTTCTCTTCAACATGGCTGAAAGCAGACAGATTCCCGTTGCTGGTAACTTTCGCAAGAGGAAAGAAAATGCTTCCGAGATATCGTTTAGCGACTTTTCCAATCCTTGGACATTTTATGCATTATTCAGCAGAGACGACCTTACAGTGGCAACATGGCTGATTGAACAAGGCCTGTTAGGCCGCTCTAGACCATGCGAGAGAGCGGATTGTGATGGCGACATGCGTCTTGCAAGAAGAAGTGGAAGACCCCTGGGGTACACCCTCCGATGTAACAGAAGCAGGGACCACGAGGTTTCTATCATGAAATACAGTTTCTTTGAAAGAAGTAAACTTGACGTTAGAGATATTATGCAATTAATAAAGACGTATTTGGAGGGACTGTCACTTGGCATGACATCAAGATATGCGGGTGTTAGCTACACAGGGACTGCCGTAGACTGGGGGAGTTTCATCCGGGAACTTATGAAAGAGTATTTTCATGTACGGCTAAGTCAGAAGAAAATGAGTGGAATTGTAGAGATAGATGAAAGTCTATTTGGTCGGCGGGTGAAGTTTCACCGAGGAGACCCAAACAAGGGCTTAAAGGTTTGGGTGTTTGGAATGGTGGAGAGAAGTACGAATTCTTTAATTCTCTATCCAGTGAAAGACAGAACGGCGGATACACTGATACCTTTAATTGAAAGGCACGTGGAGAAGGGATCCACTATCTACAGTGATGGGTTTTCGGCATACTTTCATCTTAACGATATGGGATACAGGCACTTCACTGTTATACACAAGTATTCATTTAAGAAAACTTACAAGAACGCCGAAACTGGAGATATTGAAGTTGTGCATACCAACAGGATCGAGGGTGCATGGAAGCATGCAAAGGACTACTTCAGGAAGATGTCGGGCACAAAGGCATCTCAGTGGGAAGGTCACATGGCCGAAGTAAGTAAATACAATTAACTTACAAAATTTATTATCCTTTAATTATTTAACAAGTTTAATAATTTATAATGAAAATATAACAGTTACTATATTTTAAGATATAGAAATATATCTATACTACAGTTTAACTATGACATATTTAAATTTTCGTCTAATGATATTATGAAGAAAATGAATCTTACTCTTTCATTAGACGAGTAATGTGGTAAACGCGATTTATCTCCCTTGTCCATTTTTGATTATTCGCCGTATTCCGTTTTAAAATGATTTTTTCATAATTATTTATCATCATTTTCACACCTGTTACATATTCACTCCGTAATTGAATGAATATTGATTAAACATACTTAAAAATGTATAACGACAAATGTCGTTATTGAAATGAATATTTTTATTGTCTTATTTCAGTTCATTCCGTAAAAAATGCTTTTTCTCTGATTTTAGATTATGTGGCGTAGTGTTGCTAAAGCTAATGTATACACTGAATTTTTCAATCTCCTGAAGTCAGTGTATACTTTATCTGGACCTCCAAATCTGACATATCCTACTCCATTATTTGACTCCTGGGAAGGTGCATTTTCCCAGCAGGACATGGTACATCCTGTCGTCAGTGATGCAGGAAGCACAGACTCAGATGTCTTACAGCTGGAAGCAGCAGATGCCGTTCTCGCAAACGAAAGCGATTCTTTGGAGGGTGAGTGGATACGATTTATAAAATCAATTCCATCATAAGACTTTGCATTGCCTAAGCCAAAGTTGAGAACGTCTACTAAAGCCAGTAAAGGCAAAAAACGTGCAGTATCCTTTTTCCTTTTTTGCAGAAAAATGCGTTTTTATTTCCTGACCATAGTTACTTTAAATATTGCATGACATTGATTTTTTTTACATTAAAGATTCTTACAATATTTTTGCCCACGGGTGTTTGAATGGGTAAAAGTTTTTTAAAAAATTCCTCTTAAAACGTGAAAAAAATTTTCACCGGATGCACCGATATATGGGGGAAATTATTTACAAATAAAAGAAATGAATTCGTACCCGTCCGCTTTCAGAAAAAGTGAACCCGTTTTCAATTTTCCCCGAGATTTGCATAAAAAGATTCATGTAAGTTTCAGATTAACATTTTTGTCCCAATTTATTGAAAATTTAAAATTTTTCAAAAAACCCAAAAAATTCTTTTTAAAAAGGCCCTATAAAATTTAAAAAGCTACTGTTTGTTTAGGTTTTTTTGCATAACATCAAAATTTAAATTATAGAAATTTGATTCTGTCTGTAAGTCACTCTATACTGCTGCACTTGTAATCGAAATGGAAACCGTAACAATTTACATACATAAAATTGAAATAGTAAGCGAGGTTCTGACTCGGAACAAAATATATCATAATCTAGCTTTGGAATGTCAAAATATCTTGACTAGCCATTATATAAGTCCATGCTGTCATGAATTAAAATGTTGTCTTTGACGTCTTAGCCTTAAGAGTAGAATCAACACGCTATAAAATCACTTAATTAGCAAGGAGATCTACTGTACATTTTCATTTTATGTCTCGCAGACAAAGGCTCTCTATTTCCAATGGGTGTGGGCGTGACAGGGGCATATATTAGATCAACAAGGCAATGCAATCAAAGAAAGCACTGAATTTGCCTTAGCAGTTTACAAAATTCATAACATTTTTTCACATTTTTGGACTTCCGGGGACATCCATTTCATTTATAACCAGGATCTGAAAATTTCTTTTTTAAATTAATAATTTTGTCATCAGGAATATCAGACTGTTTTATTTTAGTGGCCGCTGTCCTAATGCTAACTATACAGATATAGTGGTGGTTAACATAGAGGATTGACTTCCTAGAACTCATGTCCATTATTAATTACCGTTATTAACTTGGCAACTACATCAAACAGATTTATTGAACAGTATCGTAAGTTTCCTTTTCTATTACAGTTCTACTTATTACCCTTTGCATGTGAAAGAACAAATCTTGGTGACACAGTATTTACACTGCATGTAGCCTACAAGATCATAAGAATCCTAAAAGAAAGTCCAAAACGGCAAAATTGAAAATGTTGCAAACTCGGTTTGACTGAGCCTATTCATGGACATTACTGGAAAGTGCATGCTTCTGCCCACGACCCCTAGCTCCTGCTTAAGCAGTACTCAACATTTAAACATGTACTGTAATGGTAAAAGTTTGAATTAGAAACATCCGCACATATAGATCTATGTGTTCATATGTAGCGGAGATGGAACCTTCAACGTAACACGTTAAATTAGTGCCATTCCATGACAATTGTCCTCAAGTGAAAAAGTTCTAGTTCTTGAAATCAGTTTGCAGTACTAGAATTAAATCTTATATAAAACTTTTTTCTTAAAGTAATAGCAGATACTTGCTATAAATGCGTATTCACACTTCTTAGCCGTTTCTGGCGAATGGCACAAATCATACAATGCACTTTTGATTTCAACAAATAATTATGTAGATTTCTCAATAATGCAATAAAAGTTCAAAAGTGTTTAGTTAAATAATATTGTATTGCACATATAGATATACATCAATTCATTTACATCAACAAATTACACAATATACAAAAGGGTTGGGCCAAAAGTTTTTACAACATTATCGTGGACCCTTCCCTTCAAAGGTGTCGCCCGCTAGGATCAATAGGGAGAGTATTTCAGGGGCCTGTCTCATTGGTTCCATGCACGGGCGATACGAATTCATCAGGACATTGAGTTTAATTTGTCTCCCACCACTGATTGAGAAATCATGAGGGTTATATGTAGTCTGTCACTTACGGAGAAAATGGTTATTACTAGTTAGTTATCCAGAAAAGCATGCTTGGTGCTTGGTGGACAGCCGATATGTGGCCAGAATAAGTTAAAAATTGGCGTAATAAACAATAGAAAACAAACAACTTATCATGAATTACCATGCCAAACAACTTAAATCTATGAATGCAAAACGTTCTTGAAGTAAATAATGGGTCTGATTCTTTACTTTGAGATGTTTTAACTGTCTTACTGTCTTCAAGGAGTAATGGAACATCTTTCCACCCCTCGCATGCTCCTTGTACCAGCTTAAGCATTACTCAATCCTTGAGTCTATTTCTGTCGTTTTTTGTTATCAGTGATACAAAAGGGCAAGAAAAGTATAACAGCAACGGACTTAAAATAATAGACAATAGAAAGAAGAGATGAAAAACAAATGCAAATTGTACAAAGTTGAGAAACGATTTTATCTGGGTCCCAGATTTTATTGAGTCTTTTATCAGGTCATTGAAAAGTGTAACATCTCTCTCGTCCCAGCACCGTGTTAAGCGGTATTTACTCGTAGTGCCCAACACAACATAAATGTATTGAAATCGTTTATTCCGAAGAACCATGAAATTATTACTAAGCTTAGATGAAATACATGCCAACTTTCAGCGTTGTTATATTTTTCTGATCATCTTGTCCTTCGGAATCATGTACGTTTGTTAGGTTGAATACATCTTAAGCCGGTGCTAAGGGGCGAAAACGGTACATAGTTTTACTGTTACTACTATCGTCCATGAACAGGCGCAGACAAACCGGGCAACATTTTTCTATTGTGCTGTTTTTGGCGTTCTTTATGGATTTTGTTTTCATCTTTTCTATCGATTAAGTCTGTTCATATATTGCACTCTTAGGGTCGTCCGTGATCGAGTGGCTAAGGTCGTTGACTTCAAAATCACTTACCCCTCATCGCTGTGGGTTCGAATCCCGACAGGGTTTTGGATAGGAAGATAACCAGCTAGCTTACGGAATGTCGGTGGTTCTACTCTGGTTCCCGTTGGTGCCTGAAATAATGCACGGAAGGGCCCCTGACAGTAAGGCTGGAAAGTCTCCTTTAGAATAAAATAGAATAGAATAACATTTATTTCCAATCAAGGGTCATATTAAATGACCGGTGCATAAAAATAACGGAAAGCACCGAATAGCACCGAAAAACCGGAAAGCAATCAAAGAATTTCTTCAGAAAATACATGAAAACATAGTTTTATTGATTTGAAGGTGTTTCCAATCGATTTATCAGGTCAAAATCTGTGACACAACATGTTTTCATAAATATTTTATGATGACATTTAAATCACAATAATAATGAGATGGAAGATCGAGTAAAGATGTAAAAGAAAATAAAACTTGATTCGTATTAAAGCAATAACACTGAACTGGAAAAAACAACAACTGATAAGCTAAATTTAGCTAACAAGGCTTAACTATTAAACATCATAATTATTAAACATATCCATATGACCTATACTGTCTTGGTGCGATGTAAAATCCAACAGCAAAAAAAAAGACAAAAACTCCCCTAGTTGTGACTGAGGGGAGCCAAAAAAAAATTTTTTAAACATTTTTGTTTATCATTTGAATTTTACTTTTATTTGTAACGGGGGTAAAAGATTGAAAACTTGCTTTATTTCTCATTTATTGTCGGAAAACAAAAAGAGCCTCAAACAAAATAAAAGGAAATTCAAAAAATTGAT